AAATATTGATATATAAAATCAGTAATTATAATATGAATTACCCTGTTATAATTAGCAGTTTTACAATTATATACAAGTATTATAGTTTGAAAATTTAATAACCAGTGAGTCAGCCAGATTATTATGATTAATAATACACATACAATAAAAAATTATATTTATTGTTATAACTTATAACAAATAAAATGCTGTCAATACCTAACACCTCCCATTCCTCTCTAACAGAACAGGGACCCCTACACGTGGCACAGGACGGCACCCACATATACGCCAACCCCTACGCCTGGAACCGGGAGGCAAACGTACTGTTTCTGGAGGCGCCGGCGGGCGTCGGCTTTTCGTACAAAACGGACGGCAAGTACGCGACAAATGACACTCAAGTGGCCGCCGATAACTACGCGGCCCTCCAGTCCTTCTACCGGAAGTTCCCGCACCTCAAGCCCAACGACCTGTACGTCACCGGCGAGTCTTATGGAGGGGTATATGTGCCCACTCTGGCTGTCCATATATTGCGCGCGTCAGAGGCTACCGGTGCTGACGGTACGATTAAACTAATTATATGCTAATTAGTTCATTGCGTTATATTGAAATGACCTTTCACTGTCAACTATATATTTGACATTTTAGATACTCAATTAGGTTAATAATATACTAGGTTATTTTGTAGGTTTTGTATATATTTTACATAAATGTAAAAATGTACAAAATATTCTTTTTATAATATGAGCTTGCTAATTAATAAGATTAATGTTCCTGAATATCATACAGTGTATATATACAGTATATATTAATTAATTATTTACCAATGAGTTCATAGTAATTAACATAAAAATAAATATTTTAAAATAATTAATACCAAATATCATAATTACTTATACAGTACATAGTGTTTATAATCATTTACTTTCATTTCACTCAATAATAGCACAATTTTTTATACAATTATATTAAATCACATTTAAATTCAATTTATATCTCAAACCTTAGCCATGAATCTGAAGGGGTTTGCGGTGGGAAACGGCTATCTATCGCAGCAATTATTAGGCAACTCTTTACTGTACTTCGCATACAATCACGGCTTATACGACACCCCCGTATGGACTCAATTATGGGACGCCTGCTGTCCGCTGAGTAACGGTAGCCGAGTGTCGGTCGACAACAGCACCGGTCGATGCGATTTCGTGGGCAACGGGTCGACTCCCTGCCAGTCAGCCATAGCACGGGCCACGGGTTTCATATCGGAGCCGGGTCTCAAT